AAATATAACTCAAATATGTTTGGAGCATTGTTTCGGTCCTGTTTTATATTCAAAAAATCCTGTCTAAGCATCAATTTTGTTTTCTAAATAAAACATTAAAAACTAATTAATAACTCAAGTAATTTATTTTGTCAATATGCAATAGAAATGTATTTAAAATTCAAGATTAATCGTGATTAATTCACAGCTACTTTGGGATTAATCAGATTAAAAATATTGACAGCATTCATTTTACCAGATTGCTTTTAATTTTACCTTTTCTGCTCAGTTTATCATGATAAATTGCGTTTTCTTTTGTTGTCAAAATTTGTGCATTCTCTTTAAAAAAAAATTCAAAATAAAAGCGGGTTACAAGTCTATAAACAACCAGTAGGTGGTAGTAATGCACACAYTTCCGGTAGTGACGCAACAAGTCACGCGGGTAGTCACCTGAACTGTTTGTAATTTTAGCTAATGTAATATGACGTTTTGTATCTATTTCTTCTTTAAATCTTTTGTAATTTAGCCTGAGCTTTACTTTTTTTCTAACTGGAAGTATATTAAAATAAAATGGACGAGGACGGTCTACCAATCGTGGGGTCAGGTGTTGATCTGACTAAGGTTTGTGCTTTGAACTAGTTAGCTAACATTAGCTTAGCATTTTCTCATTTTATTTATTTGCTATAAAAAAACAATTACCCGGTCAATTGTCCCAATGTCGTAGTATTTTCTCCAAGAATATTTTTTCTCTCTCTACTTTCTTTCATTTCATTTATGTCTTGGGTCTTGTTTTTATTGTATAGAATTTACTTTGTTTATGTTATAAATGAATAACACACACACACACACCGGTGTGTTGTTGAAAAATGTGACTCATTAGATTCAGTGACCGGATTATAAGTGTTTGCATATGATGCTAGGTGCATTAATCTCAGAAGCTGTTTCTTTCTCTTTACTCTGCTTTGTTTTAGGTTCCTGCTATTCACCAGAGAAGAATTGTYGCCTATCTGAACCAGTTTGTTGTCCACACGGTTCGTTTCCTTAACCGATTCTCCACTGTGTGTGAAGAGGTTTGTTTGTATTTTTTTTTACTATTTAAATTAGTGCTTCTAATGTCTCTGCGTAAGCCCAGAAATAACCATGTTTTAAATGTATTTTTCAGAAACTTGGAAACGTATCTCTTCGGATACAGCAAATAGAAACCACTCTGAGCATTTTAGAAGCAAAGGTGAAGAATYTTTTRTTCTATATGTAGGTTTTTATCCCAATATGCRCTTTCTGATTAACTGATGGAGTGATGTTGTTTTAGTTGTCCTCTATTCCAGGCCTGGACGACGTCACAGTAGATGGACTCCACCAGCAGCACACTGCACAGACTAATGGACCCAGCAGTGCCARTCAGAACCAAACTGAGGGTCCAGCCACAGGAGCACCTCCTCCCTCAGAGGTAGGATCATCAGTTTCGTAGGAACAAGCCGAAACCTGCTGTGGGTGAAACTCTTGTTTGTTTTGTAGTTTTTTTATGACAAAAGGGCAAAAGTCTGATAATTTTTTTATTATGGTTGCATAGTGATTATCATGCTGCATCTTTACAACATGCGTTATGCTCTTAAAACAAACAATCAAAGTCACTTGTTCTATGTTCACAACTGATGGCAGTCTTTGAAAGAGTTTACATACCAGGAAGTTCACTCTGAGGTCAGACTGTATTGTACAGATAAGCTGTAAAACAGGCAAGACAACACTAGGGCTGCCTCGATTAATCGACGACTAATCGATTATTAAAATAATCGATGACTAATTTAATAATAGATTAATCGTTTTCTTTTCTTTTTTGTTGTTCTTTACT